TTTTTTAATTTTAATCCGATGTTAATCTTTACCGAACATGTTTTTATGAAGTATTTTATAATAACGTACAATTCACGTTCAGCGTTGACTGATTAAGTTAAAAGGCACAATGTTTATGAAGAAAGAGTAAAAAAATTTATACTACGTTAATATTTTTTAAAAATTTAAAAGGCTTGTTTGAGACCCATTTTTTTACAAAAAATGCATTTTGCAATAGTGTGTTATAATAGGAAATGTGTGGTTAAAAAATAAGAAAAAAGTTTATAGTTCACATGTAATATTATTTTATTGAAAAATTTGTGGTTGTAATGTGGTCAAATTACCGTTTAGTAATGCATTTTGATGGGAAAAAAAAAGTAACTCAAACAAAGGATTAACATGTTATTGAAAAAAGAATTATTTAACTTTTTATAATTTTAAACTATCTTGCTTTCGAAAAAAATAAACTATCTATTTTACCCGTTCAATCCCAAATGCTCAATTAACTTCATTAATCAATTACCAACCCAACATGATAATAAGCAGCTCAAAATCCAAATCATTAAAGTGAATAGTGAAAAGTTAATCTCATTTCCCTTTTCACTATTTTCGTCTCCCTCTTTAACCCACGAAGAAAAGTCGAATAGAGGAAAAAAGAAATTTTACCATCGATCTTTGTTTGCTTGTTCTATAATAGTACAATTTATATTGTCACATCGCCATTTTGTATTTACGTTTATTTTTCTTATCACGACATGTGAAAAAATAAAAAAGGGTTTCTTTTTAAAATGTCACACTGGACATCCATAATTTCAGGACTGACCATGCTATTATTTACTCTAGTTTTTAGACCTCCTTTCCTATATTTACTCTAGTTTATAAAAATGAAAATAGCTAATAAAATTTAGAGAGTGTTTGGTGGGGATTAAAATTAGATTTTAAGTAGATTTTGAAAGAAGTTTTTGAAATATGTGGTTGAAAAGTTGTGAGATCCATGAAAGATGTGGTTAATATTGATTGTTTGACTTAGACTTATATTAAAATATGATTTTAATTCGAAACAAACAGGGCCAAATTGGCAAAGCGAAAACATCTGATTCAATAT